TAAGCTAGCCTGGGACCCTAAGTCACTGCCTAGAACATTTGTCTCTGGCAAAACAGCCTAAAGTTCAAAACCCATATTCAGAATATGACCCCATCTATGTGCCTGAAGGACCTTCCTTTGACTTTCCAACATTCCCAGAAGGTTAGCAGCACTTAAGCCCCAGCTCTCCAAGGCCTATGGCTGCCATTCCTGGCATTTGGGCTCCATATTCAATCCTCTAAGGAGGTTCCAAATTTAATTGTCATTGCTTGTTGCATCACCCAGGGCCTTCCTGATTAAAGGATGAATTACTTTCATTACTGGGGATTGATACAACTAGCAGTTGCGACTTCCCATGGCTATCTCTCTGCATACCCACAGCTAGGAATCTCTGGGAGCTAAGACCATGTCTCCTTTGTGCAAAGGCTGGGCATCATTGCCCTCTGAACAGTCCCTGACCCTTCCTTAGAACTTAGGAAGCACAACCAGGACAAAGCCTGAATATTGTACCCATCCCACTCCTCCTCTCCCAGCTCTGAAACCAAGCAGGCATCCTTCCGGAAAGGCACACCTCTGTTAGTAAGCAGGAATCACGTGACAAGGAAGTTGATAGCTGTGATTTGTGACAGATCTTACTAACCTCATCCTAGAAGGATTGGTCAGGAGATCATCTTACACACTGAGGACAAACTTTAGGACCCAGGACATATCTGCTTCCTCCTCCTGGATTGGTTTTGTCTACTTCCTTATCTACAGCCTGATCCAAAACCACCCATACCCCTTGGAAGTTTGAGAGTCAGCAGGAATCCAAGATGGATGAGGACAGGATTCAAGTGGATGCTGTTTGCTCTTTATTATTATTGTTTTCTTGTACAGAAGGAGACAAAATGTAACAGCTAAACTTAACAATTATAAAAAGAAAGAGGGAGAGAAATCAGAAGCAAGTGTGCCTGTTGCCACCAGGCTCCAGTGAAAGGCTGACATATTGAATGTACAGATTTCCCAGCTGACAAGGGTCAACACATGAACATGAACACAGTTTAAAGTGGTACCAAAATTAATTCATTTCACAGTAATCATTTCTATAAGCTCGGTTGCGCATATCAGGGTTTCCACTGTCACAAAATCACAATGACAGAGTGAAATAATAGACATGTTCACGCCTGGGAAAGTGGCATCTGTGAGGGGAGACGGATTGAGAAGCAAAAGCAGCTGGGGATTTGTCCCAATCCTGAAGATCTGTGTTAATGCTGGGTCTGGGGGTGAGCGCAGGGCAGGCACTGTTCAGCAGTCAGATGTTAGTACAGTGAAACAACTGTTGAGGCATTGAGCTTGAGAGGGTGTGCTATTTGGATATCTTTGTCAGAGAAATTCTTGCTAGAGAGAGACTCGCTGCCCACAGTCTGGAAGGAAAAGCTCCCACGTTTGAATATTTGGGGGCGAATGGTGGAGCGGCCAGTCTGACAGCGAAGCATCTGCTTTACAGAATATTTAGAAAGATACATCACGTTTATTACTTTAAACTGCATTCTAGTTCACAAACTATCTTATTCACAGGATAAATAAAGGAGTAGAGTGAAAGGCTGCAATATCCAACATCCCTGCGATGGAGACAGAACAAGAGATCACCCTGTACATACAAGAAGTGCTGAACCCCAAAGCTGAAGGCACAGTGAAGGGATCCTTAATATCTTGAGCCTTTTCTTTGAAAAGGGTACTCATTTTAAACTGGATTCCTCTTACACAAAAGACCCTGAACATTGACTAAAGGGAGGAATATTTCAAATATTTTTATGTAGCCAGAATCATAGCTACTGTGAATTGTCTTAAGTTGTGATTTTCTCAAAGTTCTGAAGCAGTGGGCTTCAAATTAATGAGCTTTCGCTATAGTTGCAAGCAGTCTGATTACAGTACTTTTAATTAGCTAATTATAGTGATTACCATTAGTAGAGTTCAGTGGCGGGTGGGCGGGGGCGGGGGCTGTGCTTGTTTCTGAATCAGTGATGTCCTGAAATGGAGCTTCATTACTTGTCAAGCTGAAAAACCATCTAGACCAGCAGCTCTGCTGCCAAGATATCCATCTCAGCCTCAACTGTGAGTGTCCACACATGAGACAGTGCACATGCATACTCCTAGAAAGAAAGAGCCTCTGTGAGAGAGACTCTCTCTATGATCTCTCTCTCGGACAAAAGAAAAACCTAGAGGCAGTGTTGAATTTTGTTTTTCTTCTTCTTATGGGATGTTATTTGGTTGTCAAAAGATCAACTCTGGCTGGGGGTTGCAAGGCTCCACCCACTGGGGGAAGGGAAGCATCCGGCTCTGACTACTTGACAAACAGACACATTCCTGTCCTGAATTCTTCATATTCGGGCTACCAAAAAGGTAATGTGCAACAGATCAGGCAGACTCCTGGTTTTGGAAGCACCCTAAGGAATTCACACTCATGGCAGTGGGATTGGAAGTCGAAAGAGAGGTCCCCCAGGGCCGACTGCTCAGCACTGTGTCTCTGTCAGCCAGGGCTGGATGTAGATGTGTGGGTGGTGTGCACACGCCAGCCACCTGTGCACCCCACTACTGCACTTGTGCTTTCATTTTGAAAACCAGAGGCAATGGGGAGCAAGGGAGGGACAGGATTTCAATTTTTCTTTTAAAAATATCTTTAAAAGTTTTTGGTTGAAAACAAGTGACAGTCACATTTCAAGAAATTGTTAAAGCCTTTTCTTTTTGAAAAATGAAAACATCTACATAACTAGCCCCGCCGTACCCAAAGTCAATAGTCACACATCTTTCCACAAAAAGAAAAAAAAGCATGCCCAGGAGTGTTCAGATTTCTTTCAGCTGCTGACGCCCACAGAACAGGAGCCCAGGCCAGGGGCACCATGCCAAAAGGGCGTGGTGTGAGCGAGAGTTGCACAGGGTGGGGGCCTGCAGAGTGGAGCTGCTTTGTCTTCTTCCAAAGCCTTTTGCAATGAGGCAAATGGTGACAACTTCGGGGGTTGGGCATCCAATAGTTAATGTCATTTTTCCTTGCTCAGGGCCCTGTCATCAAGCTACCCAGCCCAGGGAGGGGAGGTGACATTTCTCTCTGCAGACCGGATCCCTCCTGGTACAAATATAGCCGCACACTGGCTATTGTTTCAGATAAGCAATGGGAAAAGGTGACATGCACACATACACACACACACACACACACACACACACACACACACACACACACCTAGAAGTCCAAAAATAACAAAAATGTAGCCACAAAGGAGTTAGCATTGTATCAAATCCACCTCCATACAAAGACAAAGTTTGAAAAGATATGCACAGGGTATTCGTAAAAGCCAAATGTGCACCACAAGGAGTGATGCTCGCTGTGTGCTGTACAGTCTTTTGTACAGTCTTTTGTCTACAATGTGCTACAAAAACCATCCCAGAGACTGTGGTGCAACCCCACCTGGCAGAACACTATGAAGCATCTGAATGGAACACCATAGGCTGTAAGGAACCACTGTGGCTCTTCCCACGGCCTGTTCTCAGCCCTTGATCTTGGGCTTCTTCCTGCTTTCTCCCAGTATCACCCAGCCTCACCATGATGCCAAAGGCAGCAGGCATTTCTTGGCAAACACCCTTTGGCTCTGATCAGTGGAGCTCATGTTTGGCTCTGTGCTAACTGAGGAGGAGACATATTGGGTCACACTTGGGTACCTGCTTGAAGAAATATTGGGAAAGCCAGGGCTAGCCTTGAGCTTTAGGCTTCCTCAGGCCCCCCAACATGGAAAAAGCAGGGGCCTTCTAAGCCAAAAACCCCTTTGTGATGAAGGGCAGGAGTACAATGCTAAAGGCCCAGGGGAGGGAAAGAAAAAGAAATGAAAGGTAGAATGGCACCTGCTCATCATCTCTGGCCAGGGAGCTCTGGGAAGGGAGGATGAGGGAATGGAAAGGGTCAACTGACAGGAGATTGACTCCCTCAGTGGAAACTCAACATCAGAGGCATATGAGGGCCTCAGCTAAGACTGCTCCCTTATAACCTACATCTTTCTAGAAGACTCTTCCTAAGGCAAACCTCCCTGGCTCCCTGGCACTTCAAGCACTTCACAGGTATTTGCTTAGTCAACCTCCAATGGGCCTGCGAAGTAGGGGAAAGGATGGAAAACCCCAGCCACAGGGGCAAGTGGTCCAAGCTGGTGGCCTCACTGGGGTAGGCACACAAGCCTTCTGACTTGAAACACATCCCAGGGTCAGGACTAGAGCAGCCTCCAGAAGTCCTCTGTGGCCTGAAGGCGGGGCTGCATTCAAGGAATGAGTCCCAATGTCTGCCTTACAGGGATGTTTCAACAGAAGGAAGCTTGTCAATTCAGTGGGTTTTAAACTGCTGTGGTTGCCAATAGACCCAGGCTATGCATTCTTGCGCCACACAAAACTTTGCTACATTTTTTAAAGCACCACAGAGGAAAAACGGTTTGGTGCTGAGGTCAGGAGGATGGAGAGAGAAGTAGGGGGAAGTGGTATCAACAGCGTCTTGCAAGGTCACTGACATTTAAAGAGCAGGTGCCTTCTGCCCCCCTGCTGTCCAAAGCCTTATTGAAAACATACTGGCATCTGGCAACAGCTGAGCAAACCCCAGATAGGCCTTCAACCTCAAGCCATGGGCTTTCCACAAATAAGTGTTTTAAAAGGGACACTTTAGTATCTTCTCCCCAGGTGGGCACCGTCATTAAAGAGAAATCCTCAATCTGAAGTTCAATTTTAATGCACCATTCACAAAAAGTAGGCTCATGCCAGTAGGCAGTGGTTTGAGCACAGCTGGTCCACATGTCTGGATAGCCAAGCAGACTAGAAACTGGATGGCAGAGTCCACGTGGGCCCCTTGGTCAATGTGGAAGAGGAGACTCTGCCACCCAGCCCTCTGGACCTCATCCTTCACACACCCTGTCCTCCTTCCAGTAGTGTGGGGGAGGGGGACATTACAGGTCCATGTGATGAATGAATTTCCCTTGGCCTCCCATGAATGGTCCAGGTGCTAGACTTTTGTCCTATTGCGTTCCTTATTTATTTGTCATGATTTTTTTCAATTTGTTTTCACTCAGTCCTTGTCCCTGTCCTCCAAATGTAAGCAAGGACAGAAAACACAGAACTGTGGATGGAAAGGGGTACTGAAAGGCTGGCTTCCCTCCCTTACCTCTGTGGCCCAGAGCTCCAGACATAGACAGGCTTTCAGCCAGCCTCACAGCCCCCAGGCTGGGCCTGTGAACATTCTGGCCACAATCAACTCAACGAGGTGATTCCTTTGGCATAAGAGAAGCCAGTTCCTGATGGGAAGACAGTATGCTGGAGGCTTGGGGGGCATCCCAAAGAGTTGGGCACTTTGGCCTTTGGCTCTTCCCGGGGACTTTGACTCATGCATGGTTCCTACTCCCCCTCCGCACCTGTCTCTGACAACTGACTTCCTAAACTTCACGATTAGGGAATTATTTGGCAACGAGGAGGCTAAGGCTGTTTTGTGGTGGCACAGTCTTTAAAAAGTTAAAAAGAAAATAGGAGACCTCAGAAAGAGGCGTTCATCCAGGACAGGGCACAAACGTCCCACTATTTGTCAGCGCCAGGGTTGGTGGCCACTATCTCCTCGTACTTTGGGGGCGGGTCGCTGTAAGACACGCTGGCCTCCTCACTGCTGCTGTCTTGGGGCGCAGTTACCTCCTCATAGGAGGGGGGAGGGGTGGCACTGGACAGTCTGGAGAGAGAGAGCTCAGGGAGGTAGAGGGTGCTCTCAAGCCGGACTGTGGTCCTGCCCCCCCGACTGGGCCCCAGCACCACCTGGGGGCTGCCCCCTGCCTCTCGGTGCCCAGAAGGCTCCCCTTGGCTGTGTACAGTACCCCGGTACACCATGACCCGGGGGAGGCTGTGCCCAGCACGACTGGCTAGGTACCGGTTCTGAGCATAGGAGGGGTGGTGACGGGTCGCTTTCTGCAGCTGGCACCTCCAGATGATGAACAAGGCGATGACAATCAGCAATGCCACCCCCAGAAGAGGTACTACCACGTACATGGCATCTGAGCTCTGTGAGGGGTCTCGGACTGAGTAGACTGCATTTGGGTACCCCTTCCAGAACTCCATCTGCAAAACAAAACAGGATACTTATGAGAAGCTCAAGCTCCAGGTGAGCTCAGAGGCCTTCAGTAAGTCTAGTGCTTCTTACCCTTCCCCATCTGACTGGTCTCAGAGAGTTACCAGAATGTACTAAGGGCAAATGACAATGCTCCCAACTGAGGAGGACCCCAAAAGAGTCAGGCAATGGGACTGTATAGACTTTATCTGCTCCTCGATGGTCCTAGTGGCTATGCCTTAGGCTGGGTGGCTTTCCTTGCTTCTGATTCGTCTGCATTACCAGGACCTGTTCTTGCTATTCCTGAGGCAACTTCTACTCCCAGAACCAGCCCCAGGGTGGTACATGCCGTTTTCTCTTTGTTCTCAAACACTTCTTTGACCTCCTCGTAGCTGCAGATCTCCTCCATGCACTCTCGCTCAATGGTGCCCTGGCGTAGCTCCTCCAGGAACTCATTGGCACGAGGGAATCGTTTCAGGACCGAATGGGCATCCTTGGCCTCCAGAAACACTGAAGAGAGAGCTGTACTAAGGCCTGGAATGGGGAGATGCCCAGGGGCTCCTTCAAACCAGGCCCAGCCCAGCAACTGAAGCATAATTATGCAGGGAAACAAGGCTGAGTGAGCAGGCAAGACATCAGGCTTCTGACCAAGGACATGGCCAACCCTTTGTACAAGGGAGGGAAAGGCTGACATTCTATTGTGCCATGATACACCTGTCTAGAATACCATGGTCCCAACAAGACTCAGGCCCCTGGCTACATGGAAGAAAGTGGGAGCCAAGTGCCAGGAATGTGCACGTTGCACAGGAACAAGAAAGAATAAGGATTGTGAGGAGATAATCTTCAGTGATTAAATCTCCAGTTATCTTCTGCATCACCTTGAAAAATGAAAGTTGGAGCTATTGCCATGAGAATGTATTCTTCTTTAACGCCCATACTGGTGGAACCAATAATACCAGATAATCCTAGAAGACTCCACCGGGGTGGTGTTCCTCTGCCTGAATGTCTACCTGTGCCACCACGTCGTCTGGAATTAATAGTCTTGCTCAAGAAAATGTAATGCAAAGCCAGCCTTGGCTAGATCAGGCAAGTGGTCATACATGAGCCTAAGAGCACCTCTGGGGATGGGAAGTAGAAAGGTTCAGATGGAGAGTCTAAACCTTTACAGATGGGGCACAGACACCCCCTACAATACTGTCTTTGGGTGGTGGGCATATCTACTTATTCCAGAGAGAGAGAGACCCAGCTCCAACCTGGCTGACCAGAATAGCTTGAGTTCTGCACCCACATAAACCTGACCTGAGACTGTAAAGGATGAAAGAATAGGTGATGTTTGCTCCTGGTGTTCAACTAGAAGTGGGACTTCCTGGTTCCCATGTAAAGCAACTCTCCCTGGATGCCCAGGCTAGTATGTCTTTGTCAGCAGGCAGGTACCCTTCCCCAGGCCCTATGGCCTGTCACATTACTGTCACTCAGGAAAGCCTGGGTAGGTACATATCTACAAGTGACATATGCTCCAGAAAGGAGCCAAAGAGTTGAGAGGACAAAACTGCTACTCAGCCCATTGGAAAATGGCTCCAGGGCAGGCCACCTGGTTGGATATGGGGGCAGGGAAGCTGGGAAGGGTTTGAAACCTGACTCATGAGCCCCTAGGCATGGCCCTCCACTGCTCTCCACATGCCTGGGCCTGGAAAAACTCACCTGCCATGATGCTCCCTCAGCTCCAGGGTCTCACCTCTCTGGAGTAAGAAAAAAAAGCAAAGTTGCAGTGAAACCACATCTAGAAATTTATAGGGCACCCTCTTGGCTCTGGGATGTGCCTCCCTCCCACTGGCCTGGTCAAAAGGTTGAAGCAGTACCCTCCGTGCTGACTCCCATAGCTTCTGCTGCTTCTCATTCTGTCCCAAGCTTTTCTCCAGAGACCTCCTCAGGCCCAGGAGGGTCCAGAGCAAACCTTTCAGCATTTTCCCCCAGGAACATATTCTGAGCTTCTATAAAACCTAAGGGTTTACTTTTTTCTTTAAAAAAGGAAAGCTCCTACAGGCTGAGGCTCCTCCTTCCTTGCTCACTTCAATGAATCTTTACAAATTCCAATTGGAAAGGATGTCAGAGACAGATGAGGAAATAAAGCCCAGAGAGACTAGATTCAGGCAAGGTTAAGCAAATCAACAGTGACAGTGGCAGGACCAGAATTTACAACTAATTTTGATCACAATGGTGAGTCACAGATACCTCCAATGACAAGCATGTTCCCTGAAAACAAAGCTTAACATGGCATCAACCATCTCAAAAGTCACTGCCCTGCTGGGACTAACCCATGGTAACCTTCTGTGGACACATGTCCTACAGGGTCACATCCTCCATGCACAGCAATGCTGCATTCTTCATATTCCCAGGCATATCCAGAAGGCCCAAACCCAGATGACCCACTGTGTTCATCTTCACCAGACAAGGAAGCAAGATACTTGGAATCTTCTGGAACCAGACCTCTCTTCCCTCTTTGTATTAATGCTCACAGCAGTGGAGCACCAAGATATGAATTTAGATGACCAACACTAAGACACTAACTAAGAGTTGCCCCTAGTGTAAGCTATTGTCCAAATGCCTTTCTCCTGCTAAGGAGCTATCCAGCCAGTACCTAAACCAAGGTCACAGCACACTGCTCCCTCTGTCCCTCCCCACAACACACACACCCACTCATACACACATTCTGGACCCCTTGCTGAACTGTCCACATCTGGGAGCAATCACCCCACTGCTCCACTCCCCAAGCAGAACCTCTGGTTTTATGACTAACTGAATGCAAGACACATGAACTGCGGAACCCATTGAGCCCTCCTTTTTGCCTAGACTGCCAGGAAGTTCAGTGTCACTATTGCCAGTCAAGCACAGGCACCCTGGAAGCCCAGCTGTTAAGCACATATGCTTCTGTCCTGCGATGTGGTATACAGCTTTCTATTTATGTTTTCAGTGTCTTATTGTGCATTTATAACATGTTTCCTAATCCTTTTAGGAAACAGGATATAATAAAAAATTTAGGCTGGACATGGTGGCTGATGTCTGTAATCCCAGCACTTTGGGAGGCCGAGGTGGGTCGATCACCTGAGGTCAGGAGTTTGAGACCAGCCTAGCCAAACTCCTGACCTCAGGTGATCGGTGAAAATCCTGACCTCAGGTGATCAGCCTGGTGAAACCCCATCTCTACTAAAAATACAAAAATTAGCTGGGCATAGTGCTTCACGCCTGTAGTCCCATCTACTTGGGAGGCTGAGATAGGAGAATCACTTGAACCAGGGAGGAGGAGATTGCAGTAAGCAGAGGTTGCACAACTGCACTCCAGCCTGGGCTACAGAGCCAGACTTCATCAAAAAAAAAAAAAAAGGAAAAAGAAACAAAGAAAGAAAAGAAAGAAAAAGAAAAGAAGAGAAGAGAAAAGAAAAGAAAGAAAAGAAAAGAAGAGAAGAGAAAAGAAAAGAAAAGAAAATTAAGGGGAAAATAGCAAATCTGACATCCATTTGTGGAAACGCCATGTCAAGGGCTTTCTGTTTTGAGCCCTGCAACAATCCTACTCAAAGCTATCAACATGTGAATTTGTCAACAGATGGGCCTGCCTTGTGAGACAGTTGGCCTTCAATGTTTTTCAGAACCAAGATGGAATATGATCTCAAAATTCTGCTTGCATTATGGATGGCTGAGATTTCTGTCGTGAGGGTGTGGATGTAGTATGCCTAACGGTAAGGATTTTTTGACTGAAGAAAAATGGCACTGTTGTATCTAGGTTTGAAAAGAATGCATAAGGTCCTAACTAATAAGGAAACAGAAAAATATGTTGCACTGCTTATCAAAGGAAACGACAGTGCTTTTTTAAACAAATGTGGAAAAATTACATAATTTATTACATATGTCCACCTTTTGTCCCCCACACACCTAGCTTTGGTCAAAGGTGACTGTATGTCACACCTATCATAGACCTGAATACATGTTGTCCTGACACACCTGCTAAAGTCATCGGTTCATTTTTAAGCTTCAGTCAAGCCAGGAACCCCCACAAAACAGCAATTAGCAATTCTGTAGCCACCGTTACTGCTGCTGCTGCTGCCTGCCATAAGGCCTCTTCCCCCTCCCTCCCCAAAATGTAGCGCCTGCTTCTTCCCCTATAAATACACCATCAATAGACAGTTACTATGGCAACAATGAGGAAGCAAGCATGAGGGTTCCACGACAGAGAATGATGCTGCAGCCACACATGTATATGTCCCTCCTGCCCCTGGTGGATACTGTAAAGCTGACTGTAAGCAGAAGGAATTTTTAACCCACTCCCCACAGGAACACAGCTGAATCCTGACAGCCTGGAAAGGAAGGAAGGCAGAGAACTGGTCACCACAAAGACCTTGCTTAACTCCACCCCAGGCTGAAGCTTCTGAATCTCAGCACTTTGGGACACAACTCCCAAAGTCCCTCACATGAAGCCTGGTGACCACCAGAGCACCTGGTGTCCCAAGACATGGCCTCCAAAGCACTTCTCCAAACCCTAGGCTTTATTTCCATCCCTCAGAACTGATCGCCAGGAAGAGTTCCGTGATCTCCAAATCGCATGACTCATCAACCCAACCAGTGACACGACAACTCCCAAATTATGCTCAAACTCAAACTCTGGGGGCCCCTTGTCCCCTTCCACTCAGGCCAGCCCTGAAAGTGCCTGTCCTCACTCACCTTTCGCTGGACACCAGCGCCCTGACCCAGCAACACTCTTCTCCCGAGGCTTCTCCCACCGCATCACCTTGGCCCGGCCGGGCCTCTAGATTTTCCCTCCCCAACAATACCTCGCGCCCAGCTCGCTGGCCCTGGACACCGAACCGTGCTCTCGGGACTGGGACACCCAACCCAAATGGCCTCACCGTTCTCCGGGCCCAGGAGGCGGCCGCCCTGTTTGCGCACGCAGCCCGCCACCTCGCTGCTACGCCTCTTCCAGCAGGGCCCCTGTCCCCGCCCACCTGATCCCCATCGGCCAAGCCCCCCGGCCCAGCCCAGTTGTCTCCTCCCTCCCTCCCTCTCCTCCCCGCTGCCCTCCCACCGCCTCGGACACCCTGTCGCCCGCCCTGCCAGGGCCAAAGTGCTCCTGGAACCCCCCGCCCTTTGCAACCGGGCGCCCAGGCCCTATCCATTACCTCGGCACCCCCCTGCCTGTCCCTGGTCTTCTCTAGGGGATCCGCAGCTGCCCGCCCCCCACACCCCGCCGCGCCAGGTCTGGCCTCGCGCCCCGCGTCTCGCGCGCCAAGACCGCAGTGCCCAGATCGCCAGGCCGCCTGGCCGAGGGGAGGAAGGAGGGGTGGGGGCGACAGAGTGGGCCGAGGGGGTTGGGAGGGCGGCCGGGTAAGCTGGGCCGGAGGGGCGGCGGCGCGCACTAAGCACTGCGCGCCAGCGCCCCACTCCGCCGGCGCCGCCCCTGCCGCCGCCCGTGCCGCCGGGGGGCGGGGCCTGACCGGCGGGCTCGGGGCACACAGAGTACCCTTGACCAAAGCCCTGGTCCAGTCATGACCCAAAGCGTGGGCCCTCGGAAGATAGGGCGCAGCAGCGAGCTCGGGCGGCCGCGCCCAAGGCCCTCGCGCCAGGCTTCCCTGAGCAGCCCAACCCCCGTCCTGTCCTCAACCCGGCTCACCTGCCATTCAGGCCCGCCCGGCTCTTGAGGCCGCCGAAAAGAGCGGGGCGCTAGCCTGCAGCCAAGGCCTGCCTTGCCAGGGTTCCACAGTGCCCGCACAAGAAGGGCCGGGTCGAGGCCGCGTTCTGCCAATGATTGGGTGACCTTGGTTTCCTCACTTACCTACCCCCACCCTGACCCGGGAAGACAGGCTCCTCTTCTGCAAAGTCCGAGAAATGGGTAGACTTGTGCCTCCCTCGTGAGGCTGCAGCGAATTGAAGGAGGAAATGGGTTTGGAAAAGGCTCAGTAAGGGGAGAGGAAGAAATCTTCTGGCATTCAAGGACCACTAGATGAGGGCTCCTTTGGAGGCCGCACTGTAAGAGGTTTAGCATGGCAGGACAAGACGCAGAGCAGAGATGAGACTAGGTGAGAGGAACCACGTGACAAGTCGACTGCTAAGAGAGGGGCAAAAGGGATCAGAGGGGGCCAGATGCCCTGCTGGGTTTTCAGGGTTCCTTTTTGTTCTCTGCACCTCTAGAACACGGCTAGGCACTGGGGTTGGCATCCGAATCCTCCCTCCACCCCAAGTGATGCCTTTGATGGGAAGAGTCTCAGAAGGTGTTTCCAGAATCACTCGCACCCCTATCCCAGGCGGGTAATAGCAACCTGCCCTGCCAGGTGGCAAAAAAGGGGTGGGAGAATTCCTTCATAACCACAGGCCTCCCCTTTAATCCCCAGGGCCCAGCTCCCTAGCTCCCTGGATGCCCACCCCTATGCTTCTCTCCCAGCATGGTGCTTTTCCCTCCATTTCTTCCCCCCGGCTTGTTTGCTATTCCATAGCTGCAGGAATCTTCCTTGTCCATGCAGATTTTCTATGGACCTCCCCCCAAGTCCCCGGAGCCTGTGGAGCAGAGTTCTGCAGGCTCTTCCGGAACTAATCTACTGAGTTTCTTAGCCCAACAGCATGTTCCTATCCTGATAGTAACACTGCATAGACCTTGTACACCCGACTGTTGAAAAGGGAGCTCTTCCAGTATGTGAACAAGGGTCTATGGCTTTTTCCCTCCTCTTGGCACTCCCGATTGAGCTTCTGGCTCCAGCAACAGGAGGCTACTTCTACTTCCCTCTGCCCTGAATGCCTTTCCTCCCACTGTGGACCTGGTGCACTTGCATTCATTCTTCCCACACAGCGAGCATGACTGCTCTACTGTGAGGTCTTGCAGGATCCTCCTCCCACCCCTGTTGACCATTCCACTCTCAGCCCTATTTGCAGACTATGAGCATGGGGCCTCTGTGGATCACAAGTGTGGGGAGGAGGAAGAGCAGTGCCTCCTACTGCCTGCTGCAGCTCTTGGCGGTACTACACGATAGGCTCTATTTAATCTCCAGCAAGTGATTTGACCTCTCTGCATCTCAGTTTCCTTACCTTTCAGATGGGAATGATGCTAACAGTGCCTGCCTCAAAGCGTTGCTAAGCAGGCAATGGAGCTAATCACATAGAGTGTGCCTCGAGTTTCAGTGTGAGCTTAATGCACATCAGCTGTGGCTTGTATCCATCTACATTTTGTTCATTTGATAGCTCACTTATGTGCACACTTGCCTCCTCTCTCTTGGGGCCAGGGATCTTGTCTCTTCCTGTGTCCCTAGCATCTTGCACAGAGCCTCATCCACAGCTTGTGCTCTCTAGAGCCTTGTAAAGCTGAGGCTGGAGGGGCTGGAGCTGAGATGAGGAGTTGGCGTGAGAGTCAGCCTTCAACTTAGCACCATGATGGCTTCTATTTTCCCAGTTGACACTAAAGGCAGCTCTGCTGCTTCCTACCTGTGGGAAGCCTGGGTCATGGGGTACCAGCTTTGTCCATACTCTTCGGTTCGCTCAGTGAGAAGGCTTTCTAACTATCCTCAGGATGGCTCCACATACTGCTGAGAACTGATGATTTTAGATTGCGATGATTTCAGATGATTTTAGATTGTGGTCTCAATGGTGCCCCCTGCACCAGTATGTTGAAGGTTTGTCCACTGGCTGCACCACCTGGCCAGGCACCAGACACTTGGATGCCCTCAAGTGGCTTTCCTTTTCCACTCAAATTGCAATGATGTTAGCCTCCCCTAGGCTACTGGCATAGGTCTGACCCTCACTAACTAAATGAACCTTCACTTCACTCTCCCAGCCTCCATCGCATTCAACATTCACCCTCCACTTCCCTCTGCATTGCTGAGCAGTTTTCCGAATGCCTATCATGTGTAAGGCACTGCATTAAGGATTGTGGAGGGCACAGCTCCAAGAAGTGGGAAAAGACAGATCATAATTCAGTAAAAATTCCCCACACAATGTGAGAGGACAGTTCCTCCATCCCAGACTTGACCCACCTTCTTACCTGTTCCCATTTCTGTTCCAAATCCCATTTGGCAGAGCCGGAGTTGTGGATGTGTGACCCATGGAATCAGACAGGGCCCTGTGCTTAAGAGGGCTCTGAACACTTGGCTCAAGGCTGTCCTATTACTATCTTGAAATCCTAATGCTTTCGGATCAAGAGGCCTTCATTTTTACTTTCACTGGATCCCACAAAGTATGTAAGCTATCGTGCCTATGGGTGGCATTTCCAATGTCCCCATTCCTATCCCAGGGAACAGAATTCTCAATAACCCACCACTTGTCTGACTCCTCACCTTCTCCCCTCTGCAAGCCTTGGCCAGTTGCCTCTTTCATCATGTCTCAATACCACCAATTCCATTACCTTCCTCCATGTTGTCCCTCCCCAGCCCCAACCGTATGCCTTACCCTTTGTCTAAGAGGAGCGTTCTCTACCAACCTCATCTACTCCCAGAGCTTCACTCTTTCTGTACCACTCATTCATTCCAGAATTCTTGTTTTTTATTGTACTTTAAGTTCTGGGGTACATGTGCAGATCTTGCAGGATTGTTGCATAGGTACACACATGCCATGGTGGTTTGCTGTCTCCATCCCCCATCACCTACATCAGGCATTTCTCCTAGTGTTATCCCTCCCAAACCTACCCATCCCCTGCTGTCCCTCCCCTAGACCTCCACCCCCCAACAGACCCCAGTGTGTAGTATTCCCCTCCCTGTGTCCATGTGTTCTCATTGTTCAACACCCACATATGAGTGAGAACATGCAGTGTTTGATCTTCTGCTCTTGTGTCAGTTTGCTGAGAATGATGGTTTCCAGATTCATCCACGTCCCTACAAAGGACATGAACTCGTCCTTTTTATGGCTGCATAGTACTCCATGGTGTATATGTGCCACATTTTCTTTATCCAGTCTATCATCAATGGGCATTTGGGTTGCTTCCAGGTCTTTGCTCTTGTAAACAGTGCCACAATGAACATATGTGTGCATGTGTCTTTATAATAGAACAATTTATAATCCTTTGGGTATATACCCAGCAATGGGACTGCTGGATCAAACGGAATTTCTATTTCTAGATCCTTGAGGAATTACCACACTGTCTTCCAAATGGTTGAACTAATTTACGCTCCCACCAGCAGTACAAAAGTGTTCCTATTTCTCCACATCCATTCCAGAATTCTTTATCTGAGCCCTGCTGCCCCCATCCTTTTATGTCCTGACTGAGCCTAAATATTGATCCTTATCCTTTAAGAGATTCATTCCATCTCTGCAACCCAATCAAGAAGTTAATCAGGTGTTACGGATTGAATAGTGTCCCTTTCCAAATTCACATTGAAATCCTAATCTCCAGTACTCCATAATGTGATCATACTTGGAAACAGGGCCTTTAAAGAGGTTATTAAAGTAAAATAGGGTCATTAGGCTGAGCCTTAATCCAGGGTGACTAGAGTCCTTATAAGAAGAGGAAATTGGAACAGAGGCATGTACACAGGGATGACTATGTGGACACACAGGGAGAGTGTGCTGTGGCCATCCACAAGCTACCAAGAGAGGTTTAGGAGAAACCGACCCTACCCACACTTTGATCCCAGACTTCCAGCCTCCAGAACTGGAAGACAATACATTTCTGTCCTTCAAGCCACCCAGTCCACAGTACTTACTTTGTTAAGACAGACTGAGCCAACTCCTACATGAAGTACTTATCTAGTGATATTATGCGCTATGCACTGTTCTAGCATCTAGGATTACAGAAGCCAACAAAGTAAATAAAAACTCCTATCTTCATGGATATTAGACAAAAAAGTCAAAGATACAGGATGCAGGATGGTGATTGGTGCCATGGAGAAAAGTGAAGCAGCAATTTCGAATAAAGTAGTCAGGAAATGCCCCACTGAGAAGATGGCATTTGAATCAAGATTTGAAAGAGGCAAGGGGCCATCTTATTCCAGGTCAGGAAATTCACAAGTGCAAGAGCCCTGGGAGCAGAGACTCAGCATGTTCTAAGAGGCTGATGTGCTGAAGTGAAGCCAGTCAGAGAAGAGGGTGGTAGGCAATTAGGTCAACATAAGATGGGGATAGTGAGAGATCATGAGGGGCACTGTAGACCACTGTCAGGACTTTGGCTACTAGTCAGAATCATGTGGAGAGACAGTGAGGATTCTGAGTGAAGGGTAACCACGATCTGATTTCTATTTTACATCAGGCAATGCAACGGAAGTCATAAGAAGCAGGCATATTCTAGATAGATTTTTATGGAAGACTCATTAAGGTTTGATGCCAGTTTGGAGTTGGGCTAGGACAGAGACAGAAATCAATTATGGCAGTAAGGTTCTCAGTCTGGGGAACAGGA